CCTGAAGCTGCGCGATTGCGTGGTGCAGACAAGGATATTGTAGCAGTCTTGCCAAGCCACTCAGGTTCCAAATCAATAGCACTACTGCACTGAGTCGAGTCGAAAAAGGCTGAGCAAATAAAAACCACGCCTACTTAAATTCATATAATTATCTAGTAAAATTCGAGCGCTACCAATGAAACTTCCACCGCAAAGTGCATACTACATAAAAATAGTTGTAAGATGCACCTATATTACAGAATAAACAAACTTGTGCGGTAATTAGAGGTAGCTAAGTTTTGGGTAGTGTTTCAGATTCCAGCTGTTGGTATTTAATTTATGTCTGAAAATCGTAATAACATCGGTCTATCTGTTAAACATGGACCACTGTAGGCAGACAATTTTGTACCGTTTTCAAACATAATCTGAACTGTTTATTTTTTTCGTACTGTGAGTCAGCTTTACCCATTCAATTTCAAAAATACAAATATATAAATAATTATTTCGGCGATTCCAGTCAAAAAAGATGAGTAAGGGTCTTTGCTGAGTTCTTTAACATCTAAAAATCGTATAAATAACTACTTCAACCAAAATTACAACTCTTTTTATTTATGAAATGTATCGCTGTACGCGTACTTTCCTCCTCAGATACTCGTCGATTGTGAAAGCTTACTTAGCGATGTTTGGAGAAACCTTGAAATGGGCGGTGTCCTTTGTAGACTGCCTCCTGGGTCCGCCCGTTTTTGATTGCCATCAAAGTAAAACAGTCCTTTAATTTTGTTATCAACTGTATTGTTACAAAGGGCGCCACAAGGTGAGTTTATCTAGATGAGTAATCGGACCCTCAGAACAAAGACGCGTAGGTATTATGCGTGTATAGAAATTTTAAAATTCGTTAACACTTTTAGTCCTAAATAAGCGCCTGGGTTAAGGCACTGCATACATAAATACCGACCTTCTGCATCGTCATTTGTCAACTGGAAATGACTGTCTTGCATATGTATACTACTAAAATAATCGAAATCTATTTGCTCAGGAGCTACTCCTTCAGTATTCAAATTCACCATGCGCTGGAAATAAACAGCAGGCTGACATATGGAAAAACAAAGTTGAACGACACCCATGCCTAGGTCTTGATTTAGACAGTAACCTGATTAAGTTTATTTGGGAGTTACAGTATTTATAGGATGTAGTTAGTAGGCTACTACAAGCCTATTATAACTCGGATCTCCCGAGTGCACCGTGGATAGTTGAATGTTCTGTAATAATTCTTTGGTCGGCCAGATGTTGCAGTATAATGATGACTGTTCGACCATCAGTTTCAATGAAGTCCACCGTATGCTTCAAACGGGTTGGTGCAGGGAAGGTGACTGTGAACAGGGGTTAGAGTTAAGCTATTGTAGACGTTGCAAACGTTTACCGCACTCTCCACCTTCACCCAGAGTCAAGGAAACTATCACGGGATCCAGCGTTGGCCGCCTTATTCAACGCAGGCCAAAACACCACGTGATTTTGTCTTAAGTGACATTAGACTTTAGCGCTGGTACTACCGCACTACTTACCCTTACTCACTTTCGGCCGTTGTCAAGACACATAAAGACCGAGACTACTGTTGCTACGACTACTCTTTATACTAATAACCAGTACTTCTACTTAACAGCGATGAAGGTGAATGATAATACAGGGTTTCCACAAAGTCTGGGTACATAGGAATTTTAATATTTTATTTATTTATGTTATTTTTATTAGGACGGCAGAGAACCATGATTAATCAACAACGCTTAGGCTCTCAGCGCAGCTGCACCGCAAAGTCCCACGCCATGGCTTGACAACGCGTCAGTAATTATCGATTTTCCGTCCTATCTGATTGGGCCGTGAATACTGACGCCTCCCAAATCGAATGATGGCTCTGTCTAAAGAAGAAAGAATCGAGTTGGTACTCTTAAGTGGACGAGAAGGATGGTCTTATCGCAAAATCGAATTATGCATTGCAAATAATGGAAATCATATTGAAAGTATAATTTCTTAACATTATAATTAAATAAAATTCTTTTGTTCTAAAGGTATGAATTTATCCCCTATGTACCAGACTTCGTGGACACCCTGTAGTATTGACACTAATATTAGTCAGCTGTGACGCTGATCCAGGTTAACGCTGGGTTCATGTCCCCTCGATCTCAACTAGGAGTGTAAGCTTGGACTTATGCTGTTCCGAGTACATACACGTTTGAGATCCGGAGCACATCAGGGCTTCTATTGATTTCTGCCCCCTCATCTCTATCCATCTAAAACTGTGTTAGTTGCTCCTAAGTTTGAACTACGAAGACTAGGATGCGGCTGCTAGAAGTAATATTCCAATGCTAGGAGGGTTAATTCTAGTAATCATACTAAGACGAGTAGATAGTATACTTTAATACAGCGTGCACGTGCATGTAGGAAATCGGCACCTAGTATGCAGTCCCAAGCTATATAGTGCAAATAATAAACTTAAGGGTTAAAGAAACGTTATTGAATAATAGCTTCAGGTCTACCATGTCTTTATGTCGCAACGTAGTTCTATTTGCAGTTTTCAGGCTGACTTTTTGACTTACTAGAGTGTCTAGCTCTAGTTTGTAATTTACAGAACATCTCCTGTCTAATAGGAAGCTACCTGCTCCAGAGTCAAATAAACAGGGAAACTAAGTATTTCCTATAACTGTATCAGTAGCTGAGTAATAAGACATGCATCCTATTCTTGCAATTAGCATAAAAGAGAGGACTACAGGATACCAGCTTCCTGGTCTTCATTTGAAGTGATAATGCAGGCACCCGGATTATAATGGGGGTGGTTTTGGCGCAGGACGCTGACCGGCAGATACAGGTAAATTACGCCGGACTACCCCTTTCTGCCGACGAGTGGTGGACATGTTGCAGTTAACCAATCAAAGTCCTTCAAAGGTCAATTGCTAGGAGCACACAAAAACAGGATTGAATGACAGCGCCACTGTTTTGAAATGTTCTGCTGAACCAATGCATTTCATAGCTGTTCTGTACCAATAGGGAGTTCAAAGGCATTGATCTTAATAAACTTCACCTGACCCATGGAATGGGCTTGGGATGCAAATAAAGCCCACAAATAGAAAGAAAGACGTAGAAAAGCACTTCTAGGCGTTAATGTGACAGAGGAGGCGGGGAAAATATCTGTCGAACGTATTAACAGAGTACAGCACGTCCATTCCGGGAGCCAGATTAATCTGTTTGAGCTCTCTACCTGCTGGGAGGGAGTCCTAACAGAATGGGCTGATTGATGCATTCTTTAATGTTAATATATTAGGCCGAGTTTTAACTTTTTAAAACTCGTACACCATGTACAATAAGAGAAGCTCAATTTCACATTTTTGGTATATTATCTGAAGTTTCCTAACAGCAACTGTCGAATTATGCTTACGAATTAAAGACAAGTTCGGGCTGAAATAATGAGGATGTCTGAAGAAAAACTGTCCTTACTGAGTCGCAAGCAACATGACAGTATAAACGCCAGATTAAAAAAGTGTATTTCCTAAGATATGTTAACTTATTCAGAGGATCCGAATAATCTCATTCCAGTTGCACATAACGTTGAAGGTAAGGCAAAAATCAAATATGAGTGGTATTCATCGGCTGCGAATCAAGTAGGTGACATTATTTATGTAAATTTTAATATTGCAAATCCAGATCAAGAGGTCGCATGTCCGTTGCGTAGTGTAAGAAAATTTGACCGCTGACCCCGTATTCAAGCCCCTTTTGTTGAGTCAACATCTGCTGTGCCCCCAAGTAGGCCAGAAGGCTTCTTTCCAATCTTTGCCAATAAAGAGAATGACACAGTTCACGAGAATGATAGTTTATTCTCAGAAGCATTCGAACATTTCCTTGAGGTAAGTTAAAAGAAACGATACGATTGGTGGCCACGGTCGGAACCGCTGGTATCCTTTTATCCAGCTTTTTGACAGGCCATAGATGCCGGGTAATCCAATTCTGACTGAATTACCGGAATTCGGTTAACTCTACCGCGAGCTCACTTCTATGCTTAAGGAGGGCTAAAGAGCTCAAAAGAAATTCCTAGTACCGCGGCCTGAGTCTTCTTCAGAGATTTTGTTAGGCCCCAGTATAGTTAGACGCCGACTTGGTAAGGCACGCTATGACATCGGTGTGTTCGATCCAGCTAGGGAACTAATGACTGCTGTGGTGGACAGACAAGTCTCAGGTCCTAAAAACGTTAATGTACATACCCGATCGCAGTTGACATGGCGACGAGCCCAGGGCTGCTGTTGGATTAAAAAGCAAAAGAGTGGAGGTTCAAATCGAAGTGGGACAAAGATATAGGGTGATGGATATTAGGCCAAAGATAGCCATCCTAATCACTTTCGTCGTTGTCATTGATGTCATTCTGCCTATACTACTTGCCACTGTGCAAATTTCCACAGGACTCTAGACCGTACCACAAGGCACAGCGGGACGCGTATGTCCCATAACGCTGTCGATGGCGGGCTCTCTATCGTAGTTAATTACCCGATCGCAGCCGATGGGACGACGAGCCCGTAGTTCCATGGCTAGGGCGTTGGACCTCTAACCAACATCCAGAAGAGTAAGCGAGTTACATCAACGGTTTCATTTGCAAACGAGAGCGAAGTGACCCCTCTGGTTCTCGTTTGGCTGCCAGTCTGCTGCACCACGCAATGGGCATTTGGCTTCCGTCTTTTATCTTGCGATGCACAGAATCAGACCAACGCACCAAAGCCAGTTCCCCATCGGTTGAAACTTGAAGTATTCGCAGTGAAAGAGGCCCCTCCTAACTGGC